AGGGAAGTTAGTGGGGGCAAAAGATCTATCGGTTTCAAGATTAAACTAGATGGGTTTATGAAGGGGATGGTTTGATGAGATAACATGATCTTGGTAACTAATTGACCATTCATTATCAGTGGGAAATAGGTCAATGAAGGGATGATAGGAGTTATTATAGAGAACTTTCTGGGTGTCTGGCTGGTGAGTCGTGCCCACATGCTCAGGATTTAGCTGATCACCATATTTGGGGTCAGGAAGGAATTTTCCTCCAGGGTAGATTGGCAGAGACCCTGGAGGTTTTTCGTCTTCCTCTGTAGTATGGGGTACAGATCACAGCTGGGGGATCTCTGCATTTTGGGGTCTTCAAAGTATTTGAAGGCTTCAATATCTGAGATATAGGTGAGAAGATTATTCTAGGAGAGGGGGGTGAGATTCTGTGGCCTGTACTTTGCAGGGGGTCAGACTAGATGATCATAATGGTCCCTTCTGACCTTAAAGTCTATGAGGATATGTGGCTAATGTGTCCCTATTTTTGGTTCACAAAATATGGTCCCCGTAAATATACATGGTAGAGGGGCATTGCTAGTACTTGATGGCATATATTACATTAGAGCAGCAGTTCCCAATCGCCAGTCCACAGACCGATGCAGATCTGTGAATCGCTGGCTGCCAGGCCACAGCGGCTGCCAGAGCTGAAGCCAGCTGTTTGCAGCAGCTCAGCTCCGACAGCTATGGTGGCAGATTTTGCCCAGTGGTGGCGCTGGGACTGAGGCAGCAGTAGGAGGCGGCAGAGCAAGAGGCACCTCCCTCTCATCCAGGTAAGATGGTGGCCTCTCCTCTCCACTCCCCTCCCCCCGCCTCTACCCATGGGAGCATGAGACATACTTGCGGAGGGAGGGGGTGCACTGCCATAGCCACTCCCCCATCCCACGCGGAAGTAACGGTAGGGTTGCCAGGTGTCTGGTTTTCACTTGTCTTCTGTCTGGTAAATAAAACAAAATATATTTTTCTCTGAGAGAAGGCCGGCAGGGACATTTTCCTCTGCCATGTTGGGCAGGGGAAAGTGTGGGAATGTACAAGTGCAACAACTTTTTTTTGCAACCCTAAGTAATGGCCACAATCCCTAGAGGGGGTGAGTTGGGGGCAAAGGGGTGTTGTGAGGGTGTGATGGGGTCACAGGGTAAGAGGGTGTTGGCATGGGCTGTGAGTCAGAGATTAAATGGTCAAAGGGTGTTAGGCACTGGGGAATAAGTGGCTGGGTTGGGGCTAGATCAGGGGTGGACAATAATTGTTGATGGGGTCATTCCAAGAATTTGGAAAGTGGGCGAGGGCTGCACACTTCCATGATATTAATGGAGGAGATGCGGGGTCTGGAATGGAGGTTGGGTGCAGAAGGAAGCTTGGGGAAAGGGAGGGAGTTTGGGTGGAAGGAGTTTGGGTGAAGGAGGCAGTTGTAGACTGGGGTGTAGAGGGTTGGATTGTGACCTAAGGCAGGGAATGGAGGTACAGGACGGGGTGCAGGTATTTGGGTTGTCAGCTAGGGTAGGAGGGGACTGTGATCTTGGGCAGGGGATTGGCCTGCCGGATCTGCAAGGAGATATGGGTACAGGAGGAGGGAAGAGGATTTGGGTATGTGGAGTGGGGAGCAAAGGGTCAGGGAAGGAAGAGACTGGGGTGCCAGAGGTAAGCTCTGCCAAGAGATTTACCAGACAGCAGCAGTTCCTGAATCAGCTTCTGCCTGTCCCTTCCCTGCACAGGCTGCATCCATGTGCTC